GAGCCAGAAAGAGTCCGGTGGCACCTTTTCCAACTCACGCGTTTTATGAAAGCGTGAAAGCTTTTGCTTTTTAATGTCATGTGTAAGCTGGGAAATGGGCTACCAGACCCCTCCTGATTTTTACAAAACCACCAGGAACTCTTGTCCTAAATGGACAATAATGTGAATAAAATGTAAATAACAAAATAATATCAAAATATAATTTAAATCCTACGTCACTAGCCACTTCACTGCATCTGTTGAAGTAACTTGCAGCTCATGAGAGCTTTTGCCTTTTAATAAAAGTCGTTAGTTGGAAAAGATGCTACCTGAACTCCTCCTTATATTTAAATGTGTAAAACCTCTCCCCGCTTCAGACCTTTATTTACATCTTATCTACATACACTCACTTCACATCCACATCCACACACATATAAAATAACACCGGGGGAAAAACCCATTCTAGCATTTGGACTAGAGGCACCTAGGCCGGTTCCCAAATCTCCAAGCCACTGATTAAGCAAACAATTTACAGATCCTGGATGCAAAGAAAAAGAGGAGCCCTAAACTGCAGTTGGCCAGCAATTGGCTAAGCTGACAAATTTACCATTACCTTTGGTGGGGGCCACCGAAAAATCTCATTTTGTCTTTCAACTTCGGGTGATTCTGGTTTTCTTTGGTGGTGGGAAGCTGCCCAGGGCCGCAAACAAATAAATGCAGGGAGGGTATGGAACCTAAGGTGAGGAAGGGGTCCTGGGGGCCATCTAGTCGACCCCCCCACTCAGTGCCGGAATCCGAATTAAAGCATCACCGAGAGGCAGCTGTCCAGCCTCTGCTGGGACGTATCCTGCAAAGGGGAGCCTCACACCTCTCAGGGCCACCGATTCCCCGGTTGCTGTTAAGAAGTTTTGCATCGCTGTCGGAATCTGTCTTCCTATCGCTTAAGATCATTCGGCGTCTTGCGCCCCGGAAGGAGAGAAGGCAGAGCTTGGCCTTCTTCTGTGGGAAATCCTTCCAGGTTTTTGAAGGGGGCTCTCTTCTTCCCTCCCCGCAATGTTTCTTCTCCAAGCTGAACATGCCCAGCTCCTTCAAACTTCTTCACCGGCTTTATTTCTACACCCACGCCTTCCAACGTCTTTGAATTCTTCAAAATGCCCTGAGGCCCAAACCTGGGTGCCACCTTCAAGGTGGAGACTTTGCAAGCAGAATAAAGTGGAACTCTGCTCTTTCCAATGATTTGGAAATCATAGCTTCTGTTGGTGCAGCCTAAACTTGCATTTCAGGGACATCTTCCAGGGGTGGGGATCAAAATCTGCAAAATGAAGGGCATGACGTTGCCGTCAAAGCATTGCTATCATGCAGACTTTGACACCCCACCCTGGCACACGCCCCTTTTCATTTCCCTTTTTATTCTTTTGAACCCCACTTGGTTTTGTTGGAAAGAAATACAGGTCATCCTCGTTTAGCGACCACAGTTGGGACTGGCAACTTGGTCTTTAAGCAAAGCGGTTGCTAAGTGAAACCGTGCTGGTGCTTATGATCTTCCTTCCGTTTTCCTTTGCTTTACAGACCTGTGAAGGTTGTAAATATGAGGACTGGTCGCAAAATTGGTTTTTCATCACCGTCATAACTGCCAACAGTTGCTAAACGAGGCAGTCACTAAACAAGGACTACCTGTAATGCCAACGGGGCTGAGGGCTCTGTCTGTCCAAACAGCTATCTGTCACCAAGATAACCCTCCAAAACAGACTGGGATCAAATGCAAGAAGTTGGCAAAAGGCTGAAAATGGGCCTGATCCGGCCAGGGGCTGAAAACAAAGATGGAAAAGATCCCCCCAAAGTGTCCTTAGGGGAGAAACCGTTCGGCAATGTCTGAGCCTCTTCTGTCCTGCTCACCTGATCCAGAGCACAGCTGCTATTACGGGGTTATTAAAAACAGCTTGTTCCACAAGCTTTCCATACCTTCCAATAGAGGAGAATATAAGCAGCTCAGGGTTGAGCTGTGGCCCTGACGATGTTCCCTGGTCGGGTCATGAAACGTCTGCAAGCAAAGCACGCAGCTCAGAGAGCACCAAGGACTCCACATTTCCACACCTTGCTGACTCTTGCCCAGTTTATAATCTTCCAGCCTCTTTTTCACCAGCATTCAGGTTACCAAGCCAGGTATCCGCCATCCTAGACCTGGGTGTACGATTTCTGTCCCCGAAGCGAAGAACTCTCCACTTCTCTCCTTAAATTTCGCCCGCCCTTTCTAGCCCATTGCTCCGGAAAGCCGACATCGATAAAATGGGTGTGTGTGTGCACGCGTGCGTTCAAACGAGCCTGCCTAGAAGAAGCCCAGAGTGAAGACATTCAGAGAAAGTTGATTGATTTCACATGCTTGGGGAAGGGGATTTTTGGACACGACTGTTCCTGGAAATCTGTGACGGTTAATAGGGATGTGAGTCACGGAAGCCCAGAGCTTTAATCACTGGCTAAAAAAGAGCATCCTGCCTGCTGAGACGGGGCAGATAAAAAAAAAAGAATAATCTTAGTGTAACTTCGAGTGCTTTGGAATAATACACCATATAGCAAACAGCAATAGAAATATTTGATGCTGAGTTTGCCGAAAGAGGAGAATCTAAGAACAGAAGTACTATTAAACAGAGTACCATTAAAACAGTGTTGGGCCAAACACCTCCACCTTTCTATCTAATTTATTTTACTCACCTCCACTAACCACCCCCATCCCCCCCTCCCTACAGCGGGCTGCCTGTTGGGTGGT